GTAGTAGAGTAAAAAGTACAATATGTACCTCTGAGGTGTAGTAGAGTTAAAACGTACAATATGTACCTCTGAGGTGTAGTAGAGTAAAAAGTACAACATTTACCTCTGAGATGTAGAGTATAAATTGGAACTAGTACATGTTCCACGTAAATGTACTTTGTGTACATTGTACACAGCTGGAAACAGAGAAATAATTGAAAAGATGCAAAGGACGTGAGCTAGAGAAACACGAGGAGGCTGTAGAGAAAACTACCATTTAAAATGATGTCATTCCTCTTTAGATAACAGTGCTGCATACACTCATACCACACTACAGCCTGGCTTCTGACGAAATAATCTCCTTACGTCTCACTGCTGTGTGTGTGTGTGTGTGTGTGTGTGTGTGTGTGTGTGTGTGTGTGTGTGTGTTAAGCACATGAATGCAGCAGATTTGCAGAAATAATCCCTCATTTCTCATTTATGCAGCATTTTAGGGATTGGTAGGCAGCGGAGGCTCACCTTACTATTTGTGTGTGTGGGGGGGGGTCAGAGCAAAGATGATCTCCACCCCCCTCTCTGTTGTGAGGGTCAATCTGTTGACCTATTTCCTTGTCTTTTTTTATGGCATACTGATTACTTTTTTCATGATTTCTTTTCACACAGTGATAGAGGAGCAGAGAACAGACTTGATGATAGTGGAGTAAAACAGAATCGGCAGATTGTACTTCCTGAGCTGGCACAGGAAGTACCTCTGCTGGGCCTTTTTTCGAGATGGTGTCGATGTTGGATGCAACCCAACAGGCGGCCCCGCCGCGAAAACAGAGGAGGCCCCTGGGCCGTTTCAAAGACTTTGTTTGTTCCATCTGGGATGGGAAATAGTTAATAATGAGACTCTTGGTTCCAGAAATTCCACATATATAATGGATAGTAGTAATGGCATGCTTCATAATGGTTAAACCTTAGGACATCACACGCAGGATGTGCAATAGCTTCTAAATGTAAAGAAATCAACCCTGTTTGTAAACCATGTGTCCCTCCCCTTGGGCTGTGCTTATCCTTTAAATACTTTAACCAAACAGTCACAAAGATAAAGGCTCTGGAAGAAAGTTTATTTCATCAGTGCAGTGGCATCTTCAGGAATATTAATAAAAAGTCATGGGGATGTTAGATCTGCTCCTCCAGTCCTCCAGCTCCGTCTCCCTGTTGGGGGGTCTGGTGGTCCTGCTGCTCGTCTACCTTGTCTCCTCTTTCAGCTTCAGCTCCCAGGGGGACAGGAAGGAACCTCCAGGACCAAAACGTATTATTCTCTGACTACTCGGCCTGTCGCCCGTCTTGCCATGTGTGTAAATCTCACTCGAGTCGGGAAGTTTATTAGAATACACATATTTGATTGGCTAAGTCCGGCGGTCTGCCTAGTAGGGACCCTTTGTGATAATGTGTTGAGATAATGTGCATATACACTTTGTTAAACCTTTTTTGATGGTTAGACCTCCGGACCATACGTTGGGGAAGGGCTCTGTCCGTTATTTCACAGAGGGAGGTTAAAAAGATTATTTTCCACCACCAAGCGTTACTAAGATTTCTAAAAATACAGCAGCAGAGGAGGAAGCTCTGATTCAATGTGGAGTTAATGGACTGATGTGCCTCCAGACGGAGTTGGTTGAATGTTAGCTGATGTTTCAACCCAGGTTTAGTTTAGTAATTGATGACATTTTTCCTATGCAATTATTAACTGTCAGTTGTAGACCAACGTGTGTTCTTCTCTCTGCCTCTCTCTTTGTGATTATTTCTCTTTTTCTCTCTTATTTAAAAATACAAGTAACTTTTTAACTTAGTATGCCAATGGGGGTCAATGGAGAAAAGGTGAAAGTTTCAACAAGAGTAAATATAGATGGGACACCGAGTTCTACATGAAGCTGATATGTTATTAATGTTTTATTAGTTTTTAAACTTGTACTCCAAAGTTCCTACTGCCCCGTGGGCAATTCTTAACTGTCAGCTAGAAACGGCATCTCTCTTTACCAAAACAATGAATTCACACAAAGAATCAAAGAAATCTACGTGGCAAAGAAGCATTTCCTTTGCGCCAAGAATACAGAAGGAAGAACAATGGCAGAGAGAAAAAGATGAATGAAATGTTCAGTCCGTGAGCTACAAGATAAAGATAAGGATATTTACTGTAATTCCAGAACTTGTTGTACTTGAAAAGGGAATACATTTAACAGCTGAGGATGATCGTGTAAAAGGCGAACCCAAAGTTCATGAAGATAGTCTGAAATAGGAGTCTTTGCTCTCCAAGTGTGTGAGGGCGAGGTGAACCACGGATAAACGTGGAGTGATGTAGATGTAAGAGCTGAGACTGTGAGGAGATGAATAATGTGTCATTACTTTTACATGACATGATATATGGCTCTGTGGCCATTTTCTGGAGGCTTTACGTACCAAACAATCAGTAGAAATGAATTGTTTGTTGGATTCATTTCTTCCATTCCATGAGACACACAGACATCTTCTTTAATGATCCCTTTTCCTTCAAAAGTTTGCTTTCAGAATATTCCTTAGCTTCAGGTGTCAAGTAGACCCAAACAGGCCATGTCCACTACAGGAACTTCTACATCCACCAAAACCACGTATAAATTCACAACAGTAGAAGGCAAAACATGGAATTCTTACTAATGGTTAAACCTTAAGACAACACATCACACGCAGGTTGTAAACCTTTTTTTAACCATGTGCCCCTCCCCTTTGGCCGTACTTATCTTCAAAAGACTTCATCCAAACAGTCACAAAGCTAAAGGCTCTGGAAGGAAGTTTATTTCATCAGTGCAGTGGCATCTTCAGGAATATTAATAAAAAGTCATGGGGATGTTAGATCTGCTCCTCCAGTCCTCCAGCTCTGTCTCCCTGTTGGGGGCTCTGGTGGTCCTGCTGCTCGTCTACCTTGTCTCCTCTTTCAGCTTCAGCTCCCAGGGGGACAGGAAGGAACCTCCAGGACCAAAACCCCTTCCTATACTCGGGAACCTGCTGCTGCTTGACCTCAAGAGACCCTACAACACACTACAGAAGGTAAGGCAGTACGTAAGAGTAGCTTCCTCATAGGGTGGTTTGTTGTTTCTGCTTGTTAGTCAGCTCTTTCATCCTGATTTCCTTCTCATGTGTGTGTCGTATATCAGAAAATGCCATGACATTATGCTGTTGTTCTTAGCTTTCCAAGAAATATGGATCAGTGTTCACCTTCTATATGGGACCCCAAATAGTGGTGGTCCTGTCTGGATACAAGACGGTGAAGGAGGCACTCGTCAATCATGCTGATGAGTTTCGAGATAGGGATCAAAAGCAAATCCAACATGAATTCAATCAAGGACATGGTAAGGAAAGAAAAACAGAAAAGATCTCTTCCTTAAAATTGTATCATCTTGCAAAGCCGTTACCTATTTTGTTGACCCACTTCTACTCAGGTATTTTATGGTCCAACGGGGACTCATGGAAAGAGATGAGACGCTTTGCTTTGACGAACCTGAGAGACTTTGGGATGGGCAAGAGGGCGATCGAGGAAAAAATCATTGAGGAAAGTCAGCACCTCATTGGAGTGCTTAAGAACTTCAAAGGTTAATGTCTTATTATTATAATCAATTATGTGAGCAACATTTTCTGTGAAAAACTAAAAACATTATCATTTTCTTTTTCCACAGGAGAAGCTTTTGATACGACCCAACCGATACGTTTTGCGGTCTCTAATATCATCTGCTCCATGGTCTATGGCAGCAGATTTCAATATGATGATCCAGATTTTACATCCCTGGTATATAATATGAGCTCACGAAATCAACTTTTTGGCTCCCCGTCAATAACGGTATCATTTTACATTTTATGAAACTTCAAATTTTAACGTATATGAGCAAATAAACTAAAATAAAGTAATGGATTATTTTTCATTTTTCTCTCGCCTAATAAAATGTATCATGAATGTTATTATTTGACAGGTGTACAACATGTTCCCTTGGTTCTTCAAATGGATTGCTAACAGGAAGCTTTTCCTCGGATTTGGTGCTGCCATCAAAAAACAGAACTTACAGCTGTTTAGTCGTTTGAAAGAGACCCTCAATCCACAGATGTGCAGAGGCTTTGTGGATGCTTTCCTGGTTCAGAAGCAAAATCTGGAGGTTAGAAAACAAATCTATTAAAATGTATATTTTGGGTTTAGGTAGTCAGTGATCAAGAAAGTGCATCATTTAGAATTACTTCAGTCAATTGCCAGTAAATACAGTAATTTATTCAGTGTGGCTTTGTAGCACAAGGCAGTAAAACTGTCTGTGCCAAAGCACACTGTATATAATCCATCGGGCTTAATAATAATCTTTATCCAAAAAGTTTACTACGCTTCTCCTCACACAGCGTTGCCAACACCTGCGCATTCATCAAAACGTGCGGCCTGATCAGGAATCGTGTGCAATGACTTTTATAAGAGATTCGCCCAGCGGTTTTCCCGAAAATCCCGAAAAACGGAGCAAAATTTCTCCATTCACTTGAATTGGGTTTCGGCGTGAAGAGAGCTAAAAAAACACTTAACTTTGGGTCCATATTGACTAGCCATACATTAACGTAGACAAATGATTCAAAGTTTAAAACGTAGACAAAACGCTGGAGTTTATTGAGCCAAATGGACATTTTGATAGCTAGCAGTTTTAATGAAGTCACAGATTAAGTTTCAGGAAAATTTGGGTCTGTTTTTGACTTTATAATGGGTGTGTATTGCGCAGTTTAGCGTGCGTGATGTCACCACTAGAGTGGAGAGCAGCTTGAGATTCTTGTGAAAAAATATTTGTCTTTTGCCACTGACTCCACAATCTTCACTCTTCATGTATAATTTTGGGATGGAAAAGTAGCTAATCTTGTCCTTGTCGTAGACAAATGACTGTGGAATCCCACAGACTTACACATTTGGCTCAAAGAGCCGCAGAGCGACATGAACTCCAACCAACTGCTCCATTAGACTCCATGTTAAACCTCACCATTCATTTCTCAAAGAAAGCAGACGGTACCAGTTTTGTCTATTGCTCTGGAGCTCACATTTTTAACACCACAAACATAAAAGCCACATCAGCGCGTTCAGCAGAGTCTTATCTTTCTCACAGTATTCATATTGGCCACATATATGGCACTCAGACTCCTGCTTTTTGTTAAAAGGAGGCAGGGGTTTTGTTCAAAATCACTTTTTACTGTAATGTTTCTTAATCAGTCTGCCTCTAATACCAGGTGCGTCCTCACCATGGCAACCAGTTACACACACACACGCTCTCTCTCTCTCTCTCCCTCTGTCTCTCTCTACACACACACACATGACATGGAGGCATTGTTAGACCTCCTGTCTGTCTATCTGTCTGTCTCACTCATCACTCTGTCTCTCTTTATGTCTGTCTGTCTCTCTCTCTCTTTCTACCATACAGTCATTCAGGTCTTAGATATTTTTAGAGAACCCCCCCTCCCATTACAAGATAAAAGCCCCACAGAGTGAATTCTAACTGGAATGCTTGTGATGAAGCCTGTCATTTAATAACCTCTGTGTTTGTGTCAAACATTATATGAATATGTCTCCTCTCCCTCTCTCTCACCCACCCAGTCCCACCCTTTCAAAATAAAAGTCCCATAGAGTAACTGTATCTTAACATGAAGCTCAGAATGAGGTTCGTATAGAAATTATGGGAGCGTTAGCTCCCATAATTTCCAAAGGTTTCTCAAACAAAGATGTACATGTCCAGTACAGAAATGACGGGAGCCATTTGTGGACTGTCCATCACGAATACAAGATTGAATCCAAAAGTATGAATCTAAAATGCAGAAAACAGAAAAGCGATATCTCTATCGAACCTCAACGATACTACCGGTAACATCGGCGTGTGTAGTTATATATTGCGACATCTTCGGGCAGTAGAAGCCACACTGTCAAAATTTGTTGCGGAATTTTCTAGTTTACATTTACTATTGAATTTCATGCTTTAAAGAAAACACTTGCAACGGCAAAAATAGACCCGGATAGGGAGGCAGGAAAAGAGGTGTAAATACACACCTGTTGATGTTTACTATGGGCCCACAATTATGAAAGGTGCTGAGTCAGCTCCAGAAATTTCAAAACAAAAAGGTATTAAGGAAGATCTCTTTGCTTTCCTTTTTGAAATATATTGACGATAGTCAAATTGTGACTTCACATTTCTAACAACTGACGGTTAATGTACTGGAAGACTTTTTCTTTAAGAAAGCAGTAAAACTAAATAATGACTTCTTTTAGACAAATTGAAACAAGAAAACAACAACTTAGGATCAGATTTGTTTGA